AAGGAAGGAGTGAGCAGGAACAAATGCAAGGAAGCCGTTCGGGACTGGAGAATCAGCCCAGGTACCAGAGCATTTCCGCTACGTGCTACTGTTCATCTCCCATGCATTTTCTAAAGTTAGGAAGATCATATTTTCCTAAATATGTGCTACTTATGAATGAAAAATGTGATTCAAAGCATGACATTTGGAAACCAAAATACTTAAACTTGGGGAAATAATTTTCACGAGAAATGTTCCAGAAAATCCAGGCTGTACATTTAAGTAGTAAAGCTCAAATTTCTCAGCTTGTCATTCAAAATTTAGTAGCAGGCCTGTACCTACCTTAGTTCTTTTGAATACTTCTCCAAGTCCATAGATAGTGAGAGAAATGGCACTACAAAACCCCAGAATGGTAAGAAACAGGATCATTGCCACAATTTCCTGTTGAACAACCACAAGGTAGGTGTCACGAGGTAGGTGCCCCAAAAGTGTGTCTCCTTATGGGAGCCCCCAATTTCACTCACTGCCACCCCCATATGATCAGTCCCTATAAAGCGATGCACACTCACATACACACACACCCCTGGGAAAACTGCAAGGCAGATGACTCCCACCTTCCAGAATTCAGCTGGGAGCCAGCCTCTTTGTGCATGAACCTACAGAACATTGCATTACATGACAGAGGTTGCCAAAAAGGATTGGGCTCAAGGAAAAGGAAAAGAGGGCTTCTTACTCAGATTAGGACATAGAATCAATCTTAGCCTTCCCTCAAGAAGTACCTACAGTGGAAAAAGAAGCCATAAAGCAGGAGTCATTTTCATAAACTCTCTGGCAACTGTCCATAGAAGCCACACTCCTCTTTAGGTTGATGATCAGGTTGCTGATTCCTGTTCCGGCCACTATGCAGCTGACAGCGTTTGCTCCCAGGCTTCCCCACACCTGATGGTAGAGAACAACACTCACACCGGGGCTGTACCTGCCAGGGCATCCAATAAACCTACCTGCACCTTCAGGGCTGGATGTGCCCTGCAAACTCTGCATTGGTACAAAATGTAGATTAAAAAGAGAAGTCTTGAAAATGTACTCATTGTTTAATAGGCACCTGTAGCCTTGTTGCGAGCACTGCATTCGGATAGACCCACGGGGACACGCATTGCCTTTCCTCAACTAGTCTCCTTAGTTGGAAATGAATCTTCTACTTGATCCTATGACTATACTTACAGGGACAAAGCCCAGGGAAGGATATTTTTTAAACAGGTGTCAAGGTAATTACATTTTATTATTTTTTAAATAATTCAACAGATATATTAATGACTCTATTTTTAATGATTATATCCAACATAAAGTACATTGGAAAAAATCACATATCCACATTCACTCATAATGTAGGAGATGATAAGAGTCCTAAAATTCAATTTTTCTTATCTTCTTAAGGATGGACAAAGAATTGCAACTCACCAGATACATTGTATGTTGCTTTTCAGACATAATTGGCAAAAATCCAGAAACAACAAACTGTCCAAAAAATAGGGGGAGAGAGAGCACACTGAGAATCTGTCCTTCTCTATGTCCCCTTCACCTCCATCCTCCAAATGTAAATTTGGGTGTAATCTATAGCACCATCCATTATGTTCCCTTGAGTGATATTTTTATTCTTATTTCCTCCAGAGCATTTCTCAAAGCTAAATGTGCATGTGAATCATATGATGGTCTTTTAAGATGCAGATTCTTATTCAGCAGATGGATAGGGCTTGAGATTCTTCATTTCTCCCACGCTCCCAGGTGATGTTGAACCTGACTTTTATTGTAGGAAGGTCCAGCAACTCTCTGTACATGACTCTGTTTTTTATTGTATTTTTATTTACTACTCTCATTTATTGTAATCATCTGTTTGCATGAGCATCCTGTATGAGTGTCTGACCCTTTGGGCAAGAAACGTGTTTGTGGCAGGCATATCTCCAGACTATGAAAAATGTACTATAGACATATTATAATTATGAAAATGTGCATGGCAAAATATTTATTGAAAATTAAAATCAATAGTACAAATTCAAAACAATCTCAAAGATTCGGAGTGCCTGGTGGGTGGAGAGGCACCCAATAAGCTAGGTGTTTGCAATGCAAAGACAGGAGATAAAAGTTTCAAATAGAATATGGCAGAGGTCAAGGAGGGTCCCAAGGAGGTGATCTGAATCCTAGCTATTTAGCAGAGGGCCAAGCCAATGTGGTATTTTTTTAGAGTTAAAATATGTCCTTCTGAATGAAGTGTTAATAAAAAATACCACCACCAACATGGATAATCAAAAACAGTTATGCTGAGTGAAGGGAGCCAGACAGTAGAGAGACCATGCTGTGTAATTCCTTTAATAGAAAAGTCTAGAAAATGCAAACTAATCAATAGCGACAGGAAGCAAATCAGTGATGGCCTGAGGACAGGAAGGCAGGGAGCAGAGAGACCGAGGACCTCCCTGGGTCACCTGGTTTCTAAACGGCACAATGACTAACAGAGATGCGGTGGGAGAGCATCTCCATGTTTCCAGGACGTAGTCGAAGCTCGTCAGATGTCTACTGACCTTGTTTTCCTCTCCTTTGCAGTCTCCTTCCCCTCCCTGAACTAAGATAATTTTATTGATGTGCAGTGTTAGGGACATCTTTCTGGAACTGGATTCTGACAGCTTAGGGTCAATTTTTATTAGCTAAATGTCCCTTGGGAAATTCCTTAAACTTTTTTATTAGTCTCAGGTTTCTCATCTGATAAAGGTATGCTGACATGTTTAACACAAATTTCCTTTAAACTATGAGTATATATGTTTATGGAATAAACAATTGATTAGATTTGATCTGAGTAAAAGGAAAGTTATGTGCACTGTTATTTGAGAGACCATTACAGATATATATATATATATATATACTCACAAAAACTGCTCCCCAGAATGGGTAGCCTGCTTTAAATGATGAAAAATAGTCTTCCTTAAATTCTGAAATATGGAGCATGGAGCTGACAATTGTTCCAAAACAAAGGCACAGCAAAGCAACGAGAATCTGTGTTACCTGTAGAAAATGCATATATTTTGTGGAATAAGAAGACATTTTCCCAAGAATGCATCAATTTACTTATAAATGAAGTCAAACATGAGAAACTGCTTTGGTATCTTAGGCAGGCCTAAGAATCTGATGAGATATTTTCCAGCACCCTCTGGCCAATTCTCACTCTATGAATTGTTGCAGGCATGACCTAAAGCGGGGATGGCCTATATATTTCTCATTTGCCTTTACTTACAGAGTCATGGTGGACATCATTCCATCTAAGCAAAGATAAAACTTACAAATCCTTCACAGCAAGATCTTACACTAACCCACCAGCACTGGCTAGAGTGGGTGGGTCCTCTTTGCCAGTCGCTTTCCAACACGAAGAATGCCAACCCTTCATCTACCAGGTTTTTCACTCCTCATGAATCCAAGGGGGGAAACTATGTTGTTCTCACTAGATACTTTCTCCCAGAGCCTGTCTTATGCCAGCTGAGGTTGGAGGAGGCTCACTCACCCCCAGGAATTCCAGCTCCCTCTTCAGAAGTGTCTGCCATGTACGGTGGGGTGGGGATGGGGCCGCCTTCTCCGGTAAGGGGGGGTCATGGAGAGGAGCTTCTGAAAGTTCAATTTCAGGCCCACTGTGAGGTGTAAACAGAAATTCAGCCATGAGAAAATTCTCCAATGTTCTGTGCAAAGCTCTTAACTAACAGAAAGGGGAGTTTTGACTTTTTATTTTTTCAAAACAGTCCTGCAAATAGAATTTTCATTATAATATATAAGAAATTCTGAGGCTCAGAGGGTTCAAGTTAGTGGCAAAGATCACCATCTAGTTAGTGATTAGATAAAAAAAATGGAACAAAAACTATGCCAAGTCTTCTCAATCCACATTTACTACCAAGTTATTTCCCATTAATTTGTGCTGATGAGTAAACAAAACAAAACAAAACAAAACAAAACAGACCCATTCACTCAGGCATCTCTCACGGAAGTGTATTTGAATATATTTTGTCAATGACACACCCAATTTCATGTGCAGAAAGGAATGGCTTTGGAGGTCAGTTGAATCTCTCTTCCTGTTGTCATTCTCAGAGGAGGCTAATTAGAAACACTATCCCTTCTGAAGCTTTGGAATATACCTGATATTTTGCAATGATATTCAGTCTGATATTGATTCCCAAAGGTCTGTCATCAGCCTTCTCTAAAACCCTTAAAGGAAAAGTCTTAACATGGTGTTCATATTTAGTATTACAAGAACATTTCCCCTCTAACCGGTGGGGCAGGATCCCACAACTTGGGGTTCACACAGACTAACCAGGAAAGAGCCCAGGGGCTTTTGAAAAGCTTCTGCCCCTTAACACACATGAGACACAGAAGCAGGAGATCTGCATTGAGGGCACCAGCTCCCCTACCTCCTACCCAGCAACTTAAGTTATTCCCAGTTTACAAGCTGAGTGAAAACCTTCCTCCCCATCAACCAGACACAACTCCTGGGAAAGTAGAGCAAAAGCTTCTTTCTATTTTTTAACCAGATGGGCTGATGCCTAAGCCCACGTGTTGGCGTCTTCCCAGCGCCATGACCAACTCTGGTCCACCAGGTGAGCGGGAACAGAAAACAATAATAATTTGTACCTACCTGGGGGGCCGCTGTGGGCTCGGAAGAGCAAGACCTGCTCTGCCACTGTTTTCCGGGTCCATATTTTCGTTAATGAACTGCCCGGTGGGGAACAATTTGTCACACTGAGCCTTGGTGGGCTTCCTGTCAGTGCTCCAGACAGGCAGTGACGACGGCTTGGCTCACGACATTGACGACGATCTTCAGGCTTCAGATGTTTGTCAAACAGATAAGATTTCCACTGAAGATCAAGGCGGTTTTTCTTGTTATGATGAAGAGCAAATTTGAGTAGCCTGCCGCAGAGGGGCTGGTGTAGGAATGTGAGATTCCTGGAGCATACATCTGCCTGAGGCCAGTGGGATTTGCAGAACCTAAAAATAACAGTTTAGTAGAGGTGGACAGGGTGAGAAATAACTGCAGGACAGGAAGAGGTGTTATTTTCTGAAGCTTTCTCTACTTGTTCAGCCATTTCGATGCTGGAATTTTTCCAGTGGACCATTGAAAAGCCTGTCTTCCCTGTTTAAGGTATCCTTGGCTTCCCCACATAATCTCAGGCTGACATGCTGTTTGTAGGTATGAGTTTGTCTCCATCTCTGAACCTCTGAATTGTCTCTGACTTTACTGTTTTTATCTCTTTTCCTGTCTTCTGGGCACTATTCATATGGCCCTCTGCAACAGATGGGGTCAGCAACCAGACAGGCAGGCTTCTAACTGGTGCAAACCATTCCTGATAAAGTGTGAAAGCTAAGAAATCTTCGCATTGTTCTCTGCTGAAACATTAGCTTGACCCCCTGCTGCTTTATTTTTTGTGATGGCAAATATGGAACAATGGAGATAGTGAGGGCCGTGAGCTTGGTAACAAATCCTGTGAGTGGATCTAAGCAGCACTGGACTGAGCAGCGTGTATAAATGAGGGTCAGAACAGAACTAATGTGTTCATTTGAATAGCATGTCTGGCTAGACCACAGCCAAATGCATACACAGGGGAGAGTCATAGATGCGGATTTTTTCATTTCAGTTTAACTGCAGGCATAACCTTGAATGGTTCTTCATCAAACTGTAAAGCACTACAAATTATACCCCTAATCACCTTAATCATCTATCTAGGATGTGATAAAATTTCTTCACTTTCTTCAGGAAACAGTTATTTGTAAGAACAGAGGACATTAAAGTTATTAGCATATACCTTCTAAAAAGACAAAATGTATTCACCCATGTGCAATCTCTTCAGGAATTGGTGAACTTAACCAATGTGTTGTCAGAATTGAGAATAAACCTCATTCACTTATACAGTCACCCCAAAAGGACCCAGGGCCCCATGTCAGGCCCTGCTCTTGTCACTGAGCTCAGAGGTGAGCACCCTGGTCTGGCTCACAGTCTAGGAGAACAGAACAAAGATGAATGATCTAACATGACCAGTGTGTCAGAGAGGCTGCTGGGACACAGGGGATTTAACAATTCTCTCTGATAAGGAGAACATAGAAGTTAAGGAAGAGATTCCCAGGGAAATTAACACTTGAACCTGAACTTAAAATCATAACCCCAGGAGTTTTCATTTGCTCGCTTCTGCCTCAGTGGAAGCTGCTGGGAAAGGGCCTGAAGATACACCTGCTCATGGCGTTTCCTGAGATGTATCATAGTTCATTGTGTGTGCAGCAAATAATTTAGAAATCAGACTCAAGATTTAGACAAGGAAACAGATTGAGGATGGTCTTGGGTGTTTGGACATGATGTTATTATGGGAGAATGTTCCATAGAAACTCACAAAATGCAAATGAGCAACTGAGATGTATCTTCTGACCTCCGAGTTGTTTCAGATCCCAGTTGCCACCAGCAGCTCTGTCCTGGCCCTGACATGCCCATCATTCTCTGTGCCTGTACTTTGGGCCCCTAGAGCCGTGCTTGTTCATCTTTCTAAATACTCAACATTGAAACATATGACAAAATGACTTTTTTTTTGTGTGGGGACAAAATTATCAAGATGAGTTTTAATCATGCCTCTGCCTGAAAGGAAGAGATAATAGAGTGAGCGTTTCCCCCACCACGTTTCCTCCTTCTGGTAGTGTGTTTGCACACTCTTTACATCCACTTGCCCTATAACTTCCTCTTTAACAGAGCAAGTGACTTCTTGTAACAGATCAAAAAAGCTTGGCATCTCTGCCTCCAAACTGTTTTTGTCTCCTTTGCTGCCTTAACATTCGGCCAAAAGAGAAAGAAAAGGAAAAGGGCTTCTGCTCAGCCCTGCAGCCCTGCACGTAGGCTTGTGGATTGTCAAAAGCAATTTTGCTCACAGTTGGAGACTTCCGCAAAAAGCTCTTTACCTGAAGCTTGCCTCCCCAGGAGATAAGAAAATATGTATGAAAGTAATGATTGCCCTCTCCGAGAAACATCATGAGCAGACCTGGATTCGGTGAGAGTTAACTAGCCAGGACCATGGCATTTCTCAGTTCTCCTCGCAGAACCCTCTCTGGTGTCCAGATGTCTGCAGCTGTCACCCCCTAAACTGCCTCCCCAACTACTCCCCCTTACAATGAACCCTGAGTTAAGATGGTGCTTTAGGAATTAGTCCGCTATCTTCTTGGTCATCTGCCTTTTCAGAAAATGCTTTCTTTGCCCCTACACCTTTCTTTTAAACTTACTGGCATGTCAAGTGGCAAGGGGCCTGAGCTTGGACTTGGTAAGCTTTTCAATTACACACAAGGTTTATCTCCCCTAACTTAAAAGAAATTTGCTTTCAAATCCCACTTGAACAATTGTTTTCTCAAACTGAATGCTTCATTTCCTTAAGATAATTATGCACCAATTTGCATGTTACAAATCAAAAGCTGCTACGTCTTAGGGGGTATTTTCTGATACTGCCAAATGAATCACAGACTTTCTCTCTTTCGTTTCTACAGCCCAGAGCCACGTATGAGTTCAGTGATTACTGTTAGGAGGCTGAGAGAGGCTGAGACTGACACCCAGCTCCAATGTGCCATGGGACATTTGGTTACAAAAATGAAGGAAATTAGAAAATATTACTCACAGAGCAAAATGGTTCTTTCTGAAAGAACCAGCTCAGAGTGCAGACTTGAAGAAAAAATGTTTGTCTCTTCATTTACCTCACTTCAGAAATGCAAAGAGAAGGATGTAGGCAGACCGTCCAGCTGCTGGCAATCGCTCTGAAATTGATTCCTCCGCTCCAACAGCCTCCGGCCCCCTGGCTGCCAAGGTCCAGCTACTGCTCGTACTTCTCTGCTCAGACCCTTCGTCTTCCCAAACGATACTTTTCACAGTGAAAATTATAAGCGTGGAATATACTTGTTCTCTTTTGACCAGAACATCTGCTCAGTGGGGAAAATTATGAGGCACCTAGAATCACAGGCAACGTGTTCTGTTCCTAGTGTGGATAATGAGCAGCTTAGCTTTCCGAAACCCATTCTTCCTTTTCTCCATCACACCTGTTTGGTCAAGTTCATTTTTACTGTTTTCAGTATTATTCAAAAATGTTTAGTAATTGCCTGTGTTCTTTATTGGCTTATTCAAGCTTTATCTTCCAGCACCTTCCAAGGGTGTATAACTTGCCCATCACTCTCTCTCACACGGCCCCCCCGGAGCTGTGTCACGCATCTGTTTCCGGACTTGCCTGTCTCCCTCGTGGTCAGTCTGGACTGGGTGCCCCTAAGCCGCCGCACAGCATCACCCTGGAACTCCCGCCTCCCTGTCTGACACTGGGCTCCCTGTTCCCTTCATCATCCCTCTCCGCCTTCTTAGCATGACTGCTTCTTGGTGGTGTCAGCCTGAGAGAGAAAATGGCCAGTGTTTTACCAGCAAAATGAGTTTATCCAGGAAAAACAGAGGAATTTCAATTTGGGACAAGCAGTATATGGCAAACCATCGGAGGCCAAAAGAGAGGAAGTCTAGGTCAGCTTCCACTAGTTTTTAGGAAGAAATTTGGGAGGGTTGTTTTGACCAAAAGTTCACTGGAGAAGAACAGAGTTTGAAGTTGTGGCAGTTTCTCATTGGCTATAAAGTTGTGGCTAGTGCACTTTCCCTGGGATAGAGAAGAACCTTTCTTCTTTTTCTTAAAAGCAGGAGATAAAATTACTATGGGAAAATGTCCTGTCTTTCAAAATAATTCTTACTTCACTTCTTCCTGCCGGAATGCTGGCTGCAGGGAATGGTTAATGTGAGGGAGCTCCTTGCTCAGGGCTTCTCACCTCCATTTCAAAAGAGGTTTCCTTTATCATTGTCAGAAAAGAACAATCTCTAGTCACATCTGGGAAAGGGCATCTGGGAGATAGAGTTTTGAGATTTTGCTGGTCTAAACATTTCCCTTTTTACACCTTTGTATTTAATTGAAATCTAGAGAGGTGTAGAGCTTGAACTGGAGCATGTTTTTACTCTCAATCATTCACTCCATTTTCTTCAGCATCTAGGGTTCATTTGGGGAATTCTAATTTAATTTTAATTCCAAATATTTGTACATGTCATGTAGTTTCTCCTTGTAAATGTTTATAATTTCTTTTAATCCCTAGAGGTAAGAAATGCATAATGTTAAGGCTTACCATAAATCTCATGCATTAGTTTACTGGATAGACAGTAACCATTTCAAACTAGAGACCCATGTGCTTTGCTCTAAAAACCTTTTGAGGTATTCTTTTTTAAAACTTCTCATTAAAAAAAATGTTTTTTAAAGTATTTGTGAACCTCTTATTAGGGTGATGGCAGACATACTAGATTTGTCTCTGTTGTTCCTGTCCTTCTCACATGTAGGATACACTCATTCCACCCCTACAACCAGAACATGTTCCACCATCAACACAAAAGACCAAGTCCAAATGTTAGCAAGTCCAGGTTCTTGCCACTGACTACATGACATACCGATAAGATGAGAGACCAGGTGTTCAGGAAAAGAAAGTGACTTTATTCAGAAAGTCAGCAGACCAAGAATGTGGAAGAATAAAGAATCATCTTAACTTAGGGTTGACCTTAAGCTTCTTTCATATTAGGAAAGAGGGTACAGGAGGGGATTGAGGTCGGGAGGTGATGATTGACCTCAGACATCTGGACATCAGCAAAAGTCTGAGAAAGGCTGTGACTCCTTGTCCTTGTTTAGGTGCATCTATTCATTTTGTTGATATGTGTCTGCCTTGATGTTCCTATAAATCCTTTACAGTCCAGTCATTATTTTTGTATATGCTTCTTTATTTCCTCTTGGGAGGCAAGTTTCAAGTAAGGGGCTCATTGTATCAATCTTAAGTCATGAGCA